AATGTGGGCCTTGTTGCAGCTTTGTCTCTAGCTTACTCAAACAATTCCGCTTCTGTGAATCTCGGCTTTCTCAGGTGCAGAATAGAGGCCCCATTGAATTCCCAACTCTACCAGTCCGTAAAAAGTAGCTCAGGATAGCGGGCTTCCATAAATCCTGGGTTCAAATCCTTGTAACATCTGTGTGGCCTTGAGCGAATTTCTTTACTTTAATGAGCCAAGTTTTCTGACATAAAATAAAAATACATTTAGTTTGTGAGGATCAGATGAGAGAGCATACATAAATCCCAAAACTAACATTTTTCTTTCTTTGTCTCTGACACATGTGGTTCTCGAATTTTATATGGGAAATCAGAATTCCCTGGGGAATTTCCCCCCTCATTCTTCCTACCCAACCCCATCTCTGTGATGCTAAAACAGTGAGCCTGGGGTGGAGGCCCACGATCTGCATTTTTATAGGCTTCTGGGTGGTTGTTTTTGCTGAGAGCACCAACCTTTGCACGTCTTCTGCCACCTTAAACAGGGAATCTTGCACTTTGAAGAAACCAAAGGACTGGACAGGTGAAGGCAAAGAAAACAAATCACCTGTGCTTCTGCAGTTTGAGCAGTCCCCAGGGAGGCTGCTCAGCATGCCACCTACTTATAGGTCTAGGCAGTCCTTTGCCAGCCCAGCCCAGCCCTGCTTTGCTGGAAAGTACGGCGTGATCAGACCCTGTTTGTCAGCTCTCTGCTCTCCCCTCCCATGGCTCTGTTTTGACAGGTGTGTCCGAGGCTGGCGCAGCAGATGTTGCCAGCTAAGCCCCTGCCAGGAAAGAGGAGCTGGGGGAAGGCCTGGAGGTTCCGCCCAGCCCCTGTCCTACCCCGGCTGGAGGGGCAGTGAGCCTGCTGGGAAGGAATGATGGGGAGGCCAAGGGTTTTTAGAGCTGCTCAAGAACGTGCCCCAGGCCTATGGCCTCAGGGAAGTCCCTTGCTTTCTTATAAGGCTCAGGGGCTCCTTCAAAGCTTTGCAAATCCAGTGAGGATTAAAACACCCCAACAGTGAAGGCCATGATTTTAATCCAGTAACTGCAATCCCACCAGCTATCATCTCTCAGTCCGGGTTTAGGCTTCACCGCCTTGGCCCTGGCAAGTTCCAGGAAAGCCACCAAGCTGGGCAGGAAGAAGAACACTTGGTTAGAACTGCAGGACAGAGAAAGCGAGCACATTGCAGATGACTTCCAGAAACTGAAGGTCAGAGAGGGGCAGTGCTGGGCCCATGGTCCCACAACAGATGACGGTCCCAGAAGGAAAGGAGCACAACTTGCCCCAGTTCCATGTCCACGGAGGGTCCCCATCACGGAGCCCACCCTGAATCCTCAGTCTGATGCAGCTGGATCCATCGCACCAAGTAGGTTTTTTTTGTTTTTGTTTTTGTTTTTGTTTTTTCCGAATCCTCAGTCTGATGCAGCTGGATCCATCACACCAAGTAGTTTGTTTTTTTTGTTTTTGTTTTTGTTTTTGTTTTTTACCATTTTCAGAACAACATATTGACTTCCAGTATTTGCTATAAGCTTTATGGTTCTGACTGCCCACCCTGCCGACCCCCATGGTCAGCTCTTGGAATTTTTAGCAGTACCTATAATGGTCCAGATATTCGGAATGGTCACATTAGTACCAGGAGCTATTTGAAGAGGTGGTACAGAGAGAAGGATCAGGAGCTGCCCAATGGTCCTAACCAACAGCAACGTGGCCTGAGGACTAGAGTTGTGACAAAACTAGAGACATGGGAAATTGCATGGACCAGGAACCAAGAGACCTGAGATCTAGTCCGGGATGGGCAGTAAATCCCTCAACTGCGTTCAGCCTTTGGTTTCTCACTTGAAAAGTAAAGTGGTTGAGCCTGATGGTTCCCCAGCTCGGTCCTGGCTCAAACTATGCAGGGAATGTGGGAGCGAGAGCATGCAGGGGCACCACTTCTGGCCACACATCTACAGAGGAAGGTGACAAGTGCCACTGTAATTCAAGAAGCTCTGAATCTGGATACTGAGGACCATCATAATGGCTGATGTGATTGAATGTCAACCACTGCTAGGTTCTATGACTGAATCATGTCCCCACAAAATCCATACATTGAGGACCTAAACCCAATGTGATCTAAGATGGTGTCTTAGGAGGTAATAAAGGTGAAATGAAGTCGTAAGGGTGGGGCCCTAATCCAATAGGACTGCAGTCTTCTAAGAAGAGAGCTTGCTCGCTCTCCTAACTCCCTCCTTCCCTTCCCCGCACCCCCCGCTCCGCCCTCCTCTCTCTCTTCCAACTACTTCCCCCAAATTCTCTCTCCCAACCATGTGAACACATGGCGAGAAGGCAGCCATCTGCGAGCCAAGAAGAGCCGGCACCTTGATCTTGGACTTTCAGCCTCTGGAACGCTGAGAAAGTAAAGTTCTGTTGTTTGAGCCACCCAATCTGTGGCATTTTGTTATGATAGCCCAAGCTGAGTAAGACACTGGGGAGGTGGCCAAGAGAATCATCTTACTCCCGCCTCGGCAACCTCATGGGGCAGGCTCGGTTATAATTGTCACTCACAGGAGAGGAGCAAAAGCACACAGAGGTGAACTCACACACAGTTGAGTTTCAATAGAAATATGTCTAAAAATGACATTATGTGACTGCGGGAAGTTAATCGATCTCTCCAAACCTCAGTTTCCCCATTTGTAAAGTGGGAACAATAATAGTGCACATATACATGATGATGGAGAGATAGATGTTAGACATGGATGTGGATATAAAATAGGTACATATACTAGCTACATTATAAATTGTAGTGAGGATTAAATGAGTTAATCTATGTAAAGTGCCGTAAAGTGCTCGGAATGGTATCGCACTGCACGGTGACGCTTCCGTTAGCGTTGCTGATTGCTGTCACTCTTCCATTCCTATACTGCCAGTTGCAGATTTCATGTCCAGCTTCGCTCGTGGTCACTCTTGCTCTTGTGCCTCTAATTTTACCACATGACCCCTCTTCCTCTGCCTCTCCCTCTGTGGTCACAGCTCACTGGATCAGGGAAGGCCCCTGACCCAAGGGAACAGCAATTAGATTGTCTTCCTAGCGTTGGGACCAGGGACTAAGGGGGTCTGAGGGCATCGCCATGAAGAGTAGGAACCGCGTGGGAAACAAGGCGAGCTTTATGAATTTGGCAGCGAGGCCCTAGAGTTTTGGGGCTAAAACGAGATTGGAAAATAAGACAGATCTGGACACCTGAGTGATATCTCTTACTTCTCCCTTTTGTCTCTAAGACAAGGAGATAAAACAGATAAGAAGGAAGGGACCAGGCTTGACCTGCCACGAAAGGCCTGGCCCTGAAGGGTCCACAGGAAACAAGGGATAACTGGGTGTCCTGTGAATCAGCCAGGCTGCTTCAGGAAGCAGGGGTGTGTGAGGGAGCTCCGCCCTTGGGGGCCAGCTTTTAAGGCACATCTCTTAGTCGCCTGGGGCTGCTATAACACAATATCATAGACCAGGGGGCTTATAAACAACAGAAATGCATTCCTCATAGTTCTGGAGCTGGGAAGTCCAAGATGAAGGCACCATGATCCACTGTGAACTCCTAGCAGAACTCAGTGTTTCTGGAGTGAGGGGCCCGGGGTTTAGACCTAGACTCCACAGTGGGACTAAATATCTAAGGGACCGCTTGTCTACCGGTTCCTCTTCAAAGGCCAGGTGAGATGCAGCCCCTGAAGGCATCATGTCCCCTGTCGGGCACAAAGGATCAGAAGACACCTCCCTTCTGGAAACAGCTCTTTACTGAATCAGTAACAGTATGTTGCATGATATCATATGTAGACAGAATTACACAGAAGTGGGGGTGGGCAGGAGTACAAACCAGTTGCACATCTATGACGAGAAGGGAGGTGGCATTAAGGCTGTTGGAATGGGGAGAGGGACTGGCCTCTGAATCAGGTCGGAGAGGAGACAGCTCCATGCCCTACTCCAGGGGTGGTCGGGCTCTGCGGGAACGCAGACGCGGGGCGACTTCACAGTGAGTTGAGCCTCTGGCGGCCTTCTCCCCGCTGGGGAAACTCTGCCAGGGTTCGCAGGAAGTCGGAGGTGGGCAACGGGTTACCCAATGAGCCTCTCGTGGGGGTTCTGGCCCTTCGCTCCTCTTTCGGTCGTGCCGCTCATGCAGAGAGGCCCCAGGCCATTCTGGGTCATGGTGGGGTGAGGTCGGCGGGCTGCTGTGGGCAGGAGAGCTGGGTGCAGGAGGGAGAGCTGCTCTGTTAACAGGGGTCAGTCCTCCCCCAGCCACCACAGAGGGGACCACCGCAGGAATGGAGAGCAAGGGGGACAGCTTTGTAGGCAGCCCAGTGACCACAGCCTCCCCCACCCCCGCTCCGGTTTCCAGGTGCTAGGCACCACTTTGGCCCTGGAGAGTGTCCCTGCGCAGATGAAACTCCTGCTTGGATTCCTTCTGAAATGCTCCTGAGAGGTGGAGGCAAAGACGAAGCAAAGAATTTCCTGGAGGCATGAAAAAAACACTGCTGAGTTCCTGGGGGCACAGTGCCCAGTGCCCAGGGCCAGAGAATGCTGGCCCCAGTGGACTCCGCTGTCCTGTGCAAGGCAGGGCAGGTCCCGGGACTCTGCTCCCATAGGTAGAGGGAGGGTCTGACGGATGCCAATTCCACTCTGTCCCGAGTTTGCACCATAGTCCTCGGCAAAGGTTTCCCTGGGTCTTTTCAGCCACTGGGAGCCCAGGAAACGGCTGGGTGGGCTGATGGGTGTGAAGACACTGGAAAGACCAAATTGGTCACCAATTCAGAGATAGATTCAAGACCTTCCTCCCGAGGTAGCCACCTCCCTGGCAGGCTCAGTCACAGGAGAGGGGGGGTCTTCTTCTGCCCTCTCCTCCTGCCCCACCAGAGAAACCCACTTGGCTCCCCTGGCCAGCAGGGAAATGCATGTGTGCGTGTGTGTGAGTGAGTATGTGTGTGTGTGTGTGTGTGAGTGTGTGAGAGAGAGACCAGCAGGGAAATGCATGCGTGCGTGTGTGTGAGTGCGTATGTGTATGTGTATGTGTGTGTGTGTGAGTGTGTGTGAGAGAGAGAGAGAGAGGCTGCTTTCTGTGGTACAGTCACTACTGGGAACCCACATGTGCAGGGGCAGGCCTGGGGACAACCCCCTTTGGGGTCACAGGGCCACAACTGTCTGTAGATGCACCCTTCTTGGGGCGGGCTGTGCCCGGAGCCCGCTTCCTGGCATTCTGTAGCAGTGCCTGGGCCCGGGGCCCTCCTCAGTAATGGCTCTGGCTTCCTGGTGGGCCCGGGGGCCCGGGGAGGCCTGGGGGACCCTGGATCCCTGGTTCACCCTTAAGCCCCATGGGTCCTCGCTGACCTGGTGAACCCGACTTCCCAGCGATCCCCGGTTTTCCCTGAGGCCCTGAGGGCCCTGGAGACCCTGGGGGACCCTCTGGCCCGGGGGGCCCCACATCCCCTTTGGGGCCTGGCTGTCCTCTCGGGCCTCCAGTTCCAAAGCTGCCCTTCGAGCCTTTGATGCCTGGGAGACCTCGCAGGCCTACCGGCCCCCTCTCTCCCACAGGTCCAGTGTCCCCGGGCTGTCCCTGGGTACCCTGGGGTCCCGGGGGCCCCAAACTGCCGGGGTCTCCTTTTGGTCCTCTGTTGCCAACAGGCCCTTTCACGCCCACATCTCCCTTGAGTCCTCTTGGTCCTGGAGGGCCAGGGGCACCTAGGTCGGAGAGAAAAGGGGGACAGGTCAGTCCACGAGGGGCAAGTCTCACGAGGCTTTCTCAGGAAGTAGGTGCAGTGCATTGTGTACTGTGTCACCCGAGGGTTTGACAGATGCAAATCCCAGGTCTGACAACCACAGGTTTTGGGAGGTTTTGCCTGTTACTTGACTTCTCTACGTCGGCTTTACCATCTGTGAAAGAAGAAGAATACTCACAGATTCTGAGATAACACGCGTAAGTGTCCTGCATGAGGCCCGATGCATGGTGGGCCCGATGCATGGTGGGCACTCATTGTTTTGACTTCAGGGCCTGTCCATAATTCCACTCGTGCACTCAAGCTGGGAACGGAGAGCTGGACAGCTCTGGGGAAAGGCCAAGCCTGTCCAGGATTGTCCGTCCTGTTCCAGCGGCTGGCCTAGACTTCTACACCTCCGTGCGGTCTTCGTTTGCTGTACTCACTCCTGCCACACCCCGTTCCCCAATCCCAACTCCAGGCTTTTGCTCAGGACCTTTTAGGAATCTGGGACGAGGAATGAAGTCAGATGACATAGAGGAGAAGGCCAGGAAAGTGAGGCACGAGAGGCAGATGCCTCCCAGGGCGAGAGCAGACACAGCCTCAGCTCAGAGCAAGGGCAGCTCCTCCAGGAAGGCCACCCTGACCACTCCAGCCTCTTCTCCAAGCTCTTGGGGTTACCGCTTTCTGAATCTTTTAGTTTAGAAAGAGAAGTCACAGTACAGAGAAAGCAAACCATTGGTGTCCACCTGTGGACCCTACTAGACTGTGGGACCCCAGGAAGGTAGTAAGGGCCATGGCTCGCATCCCTTACCCGGGGCCCAGAGCTTGGAACACAGCGGGGAGAGCTCAGCACACGCTTGAAGAGGGTGATTCACCAATAGCCGTGGACCCCTGCTCCCTCCTGGCTCTGGCCTAGGGCCTGAGAGAGATGCCAAGATGAAGACATGGCCCTTCCTTAAAGAGCCCAGTCTAGTGCCCAAGCCAGGGGTCAAACACCTGAACATCCTTATGGCTGTGTAGGCCTGCAAGTCCACCACCTCTCAGAGCTGTACCAACCCTGAGGACACAGAGCAGAGCGTGGCCGTCACTCTGCCCAGAGCACATCAGCATGCCTGGGAGCACAGAGGAAAGAGAACCACCTGGCTTCGTGAGGACAGCAGTTGGGGAAAACAGCTTTAGTCCCCACAGGGCCAGCGCACAGAGAAGCCCTGTCTTTCTTCAGTGGTCTTGGCAAGGGGTCACTGGGTAGGGGAGGCGGGAGCAGTGAACCCGAGGGCTGGCCTGGGAGACGAAGTCCAGTGCCCGCAGTCGGCTCTCTCTGAGAACTCCGCGGTTACATCATCCCCTTGGCAAGGAAATCCTAGAGTTTTTGAGCTGAGTGGGAGACGGTCCAATTCCTTCATTTCACAGAGCAGGCAACGAAAGCCCAGAGAGGTGAAGTGATACCCCCGGGGGTGCCTGAGTGGAAAACAGAACCCAGGTGGCCTCTTGGAGAGAAGGGATCCTGTATGCTGGGAGCCGAGACCCCTCCCAGGGGCCCGGATCCAGGTCTGTGTCAGGACCCCTTCCCTGGCAGATGCAGACACCACTGCTGATCATCCTGGCTGTGGCTGCCTACCTGCTGCCCCGGCCCTCCCCCACCCTGCCACCCCTCCCGTTCCCCCTCTCATCTCCTTTCCGGAGTGTTTCTAAGTGGAACAGAGTCCGTGAATACCGTCTTATTATGATCTCAACTGGAAACCGGAGCCCAGAAGGAGTCAGCCGCACCAGGGCCAATAAAAACCTTCCAGCCTTTCCCTGCCATGGCCTGCCATGCCCACCTCCCACACAGTGGGAATGCGACCTTGCGTGGGCTCAGGTCACGTGGCTTGCCAGCAGTCATCAGGCTAGCTGGGGGCAGAGAAGGGGCTGGCTGGGGGCAGGGGTAGGGCTGGCTGGGGGCAGGGGTGGGGCTGGCTGGGGCAAGGGTGGGGCTGGCTGGCAGTAGCACTGCCCTGGACTGGGAGCAGCCTGAGGTGAGACCTGCCCTTTGGATGCAGCAAACACCACCCTGCCCACCCCTCCACCCCCCAACAAGGCAGCCAGAACTACACAGAACAATATGGGTACAGGGAAATGCCTGCACAAGGACTGCACCCCCAGCCTAGCAGGACGGCCCTGTCTTCACCCCAACTCTTCCCTTGGCACCTGGGCCAGCTGCGGCTGGTACAAGCAGAGCCATTCGGAGGTGGAGCAGCCCTGGAGGCTGTGAGGGCAGACCAGAGTCAGCGGGCCACGGAAGGACGATAGGCAAGTCCCTGCCCATTCGAGCTCAGGTCCTCATCTATAATTGCGGGTTGCGTTCGACACTTCCTCAGGGCTCCGTAGCTCCACGACCTCCCCTGCTCCTGCCTCTGTCCCTGCTCCTTCTTTGGGCTCATTCTCTGCCTGCTCTAGAAGCTGGTTCCCAGGGCTTGTCCCCAGCGCCTTGGTTTTTCACTGTCTCTTATGACCACTTCTGTGGCTTCTACAATCCCCATCTCCAGCCTCAACTCAGGAAAAGAAGTCTTATTTTGACAAGGACGTCCTGCCCTACCCAGCCCCCAGGTCCAGCCGGAGCCTCCTCAGTCTCCCCAGGGTCCCATTCCTTCCCATGCCACCAACTTTGGCAAGCATCCTCCTTCCCTGGCCTCGGAGACACACAGCCAGCTGCAAGGATGTCTAAGGGTTTCTATGCCAACAGTGGGGGAGAACCAGCCGAGGGGAAAGGCCTTCTCTCTTGCTCCTCTCCACCAGTCCCCTAGGCTTCTCTTTCTGGGGACGCTCTCGGCGTCTTCCCTGGATGGGGAAGGCTGGGTGCCCACATGCTCTGAGTGAACGTTTGTGCAGAAGCCTGGGGCACACTGTCCACCCCATTCCTCCAGGAGCTGCAGCACCCAGCATAAGTGGAAGAAGGACCCCACCACAGCTGCCAACGCTGACCCCTTCTCTGAGAACCAAGACAGAGGTCCCAGGCAGTAGCCTTGAGGACATCAAAAAGATTGGCTTCATCTGGAGCTACTGACAGGTGCCTGCGCTGCAGACTGTGGCCCCCTGGCTGCCACGTCACGCGTGAGCGGTGGGTGGAGCCCACGCCGTGTCCGTGTGGCTATGACAGCCCCGCAGGATGCAGCCTCTGGCTTACTCTCTAACTTCTCTGTGACCTGCCTCCTCTTGGGGAAGGGAAGGGCAAAGACGGTAGTGAACATTTGTCCACTGAGTCTCTACTATGTCCCTAGCATTGCACGCTCAGATCGTTGCCCCATTTTACGGATGAGAAACCGTGGTGCAAAGTGGCGACTTGTCCAAGATCACCAACCAGTAAGGGCCAGAGACAGGATCCAAACCCAGGCCTGAGAAATGCTGAAACCCATGCTCCTTTATCCCCAGCCTGCTGCCTCATAACACGGTGGCCGGCGCTCCTGGCCCAGCCATCAACCCCCAGCCCCCCATCCTCCCAATGCCAGGGCCTCCTGTCCTGGTGCTGCATGAGGGGAGGGAAGGTCCTCTCAGAGCAGCGAGTGGGTAACCAGGATTGTCTTCCTCAGGTGAGCCAAGCCTCCTGGGCCAGCCATGAATCATGCGGTCAGAGAGGGAAGAGTTGGCAGGACCTGGGTCTAGCTGGGGAGGAAGTCAACAGCCTTAGTTTAGCAGTTACCATAGGGGACAGGAATGTGGACAAAGGCTGACCGGGGCACTGTCCGGAACAGGGCGCCCCTGACACAGCTTGCAATAAGATCTTGGTATCGGCAGAGCTAAATGGCACGGGAAGAAAAGGCTATGCGCTGCTCGGAGCAGTGGGGGGACATTTCAGGCAAAGGAGGTGACTTGAGCAGCCGTAGCGGTGGCGTGGAGTTGAGAGAGGGGAACAGGGTCCTCTGGAGTCCTGGGGAGGCTCATAATTACTCGGGAAGCCCGAGGCTGTAATTAGGCCATTCCGGCCCATTAGGGTAAAGCCACAACTGACTGCATGTCTGGGACAAGTAGGTAGTCTGCTCCTGGTCTGTACTGGGAACAGGGAGGGGGTAGGGAGATGAGCAGAAGGACCAAGTCTCCCGTGGCACCAACACTACCCATTCAGGGGCGGGGTGGTGCACGGGTAGGAGGGGCCCACTGTCCGTCTCATAGCCCAAAGCAACAGGCCAGCTTACGAGGAGAGAAGGGCGTAGAGACAGAAGGGGTGCCCCTCGAGAGACTGGCCTGGACTTCGAGGGAGCCAGGTTTGCGTCCTTGCTCTGGTATTAACATGTTGGGTGGCTGGGTAAGTCTTTGTCCCTCTTTGGACCTCAGGTTTCCCTCTATTCAATGACAATATTGGCCTAGGTCAGGGACTCTCAATACTGGCTGTTGTTATCTGAGAAGCATTGAAAAAATGCCAGTGGACTTCCCCTTCTGCCTAAAAAGGACTAGTTTGTAATAGAATAAACCTCTCACCAAGTACAAGCAGAATCATTAGATAAAATACCAAGACAACTTCCCAAGGCTTTAGAGATAGGTTAAGGGACAGAATTGCAGGGAGAAGAAGGACTCGCTGAAGTAAGCCTGATGTTCTTTGCTACTTTTCCTCGCAAGGCATGCGTCGCTTAGTAATGCGTTTGGGCAGAGAGACTGAGAAGCCAAACAGAAGGCTGCAGCTGTCGAGCGGAGAGGCTGAGTAGGGCCTTCAGCAGCTTCACTGGGGCTGGAGTTCAGGGCGGCCAGGGTTCTGGGTCAAGATTCAGGAGAAAAGTAAATTGTGTATTTGCTATGAGGACCACAGGGCAGAGAAGCTGAGCAGAGCATTCAGCTCATTCAGTCTCGTGGTACTGGGGAGATGATAATTAGAGTTTAAGGCCGACAAAGTGGCAAGGTCCTTACATGCCCTAGGAGTAGGAGTATATCAGAAATAGGCCAAGTGTCACGGTGAGGTCTCCTGCAGGCACTGACAGAAGCTTGCGTGGTCCTCCTTTTCATCAACCACCTTTGCGGCTCAGTGACAGCGGGCCTCCACTGTATACAGGTGATTGGGCCTGAGCAGGCCCTGAAGGCACAACAAGTGAGTTACATAAAGAAGTGGTCCAAATGCCCATGATCCCCACTCCTGCGACACTGCCTTCTCTCTCCCAGCCTGCAGGCATCACTTGAAAGTGAGCAGCTGCCGTATTAGAGTCCCTTTCTGGGACATCCCCAGAGGACCTGAGTGAAGGGAAATCTTCCTAGAGGGCTGTTCTGTTTGCGTGTTCTCTCCATGCGAATGTGGGTTTTCTCCTGGGCCTCCCGTTTCCTCCCACACCCCAAAGCTGTGCGTATGAGGTGAAATGGTGGGTCTAAATCGTCCCCGTCTGAGTGAGTGTGGGCGTGTATGAGCACACCCTGTGACGGAAGGGCGTCCTGTCCAGGGTGGGTTCCCACCTTGCACCCTGAGCTGCTGGAAGAGGCTCCAGCCACCCGCCAACTCTGAACTGGAATAAGCGGGTTGGAAAATCATTCTCTGACTTGTTTTTATTCATCTTTTTTAAATGTAAGTATAGCTCACATTTATTTCAATGTTTAATATTAGAAGTATTTTGGGCTTTTATTTAGAAGTCTGGTGATGTTTTCATGACCAGAAATATGCTGTAGGAACTTAAGTCTTGTTTATATTGATTAGCCTATCATAAAATTGGTTTTGTTGATTTGCTTAAAGTCACAGTTTCTAAGTACTTTTTGATGCCATTAGGTGAGGACTTAATGTAAACCAATTCATGGGCTGTGGACAATGGTTTAGCGAGACGGTCAGGGACTTGGAAAGAACACAATTGGAAAACTGGTTACAAAGAAATCTGTGGAAGACGTATGTGGATAGTCCCCTCTGAATAGGCAAAAAAAAACCCCCAAAAACGTGAAGATATTTGTGTCCTGTGTGAATGCTCGCCACAGGGTGACCTCAGCAGAGGAGGATTTTAATAGTCAAGTGGATGGAATGATCTGCTCTGTGGATTCCAGTCAGCCTTTTCCCCAGCCACCCTTGTCATCACCAAACAAAGTGGCCAAGGCGGCAGGGATGGAGGTTATGCATGGGGTCAGCAACGTAGACTTCTAGTCACCACGGCTGACCTGGATAGAGCCACTGCTAAGAGCCTGGTCTGTCAATAGCAGAGACCAACAGTGAATCCCTGATAGGGCATCAATCCCCACGGATATCAGCCAGCTACCTGGTGGCAGGTGGATTACACTGGATCACCTCTACCATGGAAGGGGCAGTGTGTTGTTCTTATTGGAAGAGACATTTACCGTGGATATGGATACGTCTTCCCTGCACGCATGCTTCTGCCAAAACACCATCCAGGTACTTACAGAATTCATTACCCACAACCATGACATTGCACACAGCACTGCTTCTGATCAAGGAACTCACTTCACAGCAAATTGGTGGAGCAATTGGGCCCACGATCATGGGATTTACAGGTGTTACCATGTTCTTCACTATCTTGAAGCAGCTGGCTTATTGGAAGGGTGGAATGGCCTTTTGAATACTCAGTTACAGTGCCAGTTAGGTGGCAATAACTTTCAGGGCTGTATGCGCTCTAAGTCAGCATCCAGTATATGATGCTGTTCCTCTGATAGGTAGGATTCATGGGTCCAGGGAGCAGGGGTGGAGATGGAAGTGGCACCACTCACTGTTGTCCTTAATGACCCACAGGCAAAATTGTGCTTCTTGTTCCCACAACCTTATGCTCTGCTGGCTTAGAGATCTTAGTTTCAAAGGGAGGAATGTTTCCGCCAAGAGATTCAACAATGATTCTACTGAACCAGAAGCTATGACTGCTGCCCAGACAGTTTGGGCTCTTCATGCCTCTGAATTAACAGGTAAAGAAGTTACTGTGCTGCCTGGGGTGATTGATCCTGACGAGCAAGGAGAAATTGGATTGCTATTCCCCACAATAGAGGTAAGGAAGAGGATGTCTGGAATACAGGTGCTCACGTAGGACTTCTCTTAGTAATATCGTGCCCTGTGATGAAGGTCAATGGAAAACCACAACAACCCAGTCCAGGCAGGATACTAATGGCCCTTCAGGAATGAAGATTTGGGTCACCCCACCAGGTAAAGAATCGTAACCAGCTGAGTTGCTTAATGAGGGCAAAGGGAATATGGCATGGGTAATGGAAAAGGGAGTTAGAAATACCAGCTATGAACACACGACCTGTTACAGAAATTAGGACTGTTATTGTCAAGAATATTTCCGCCTTATTATGTAATTAATATCTATATATTAATATATATAATATCCGTTTCTTCCCTCTCTTATCCCCTTATCATGTAACATAAAATATAAAACGTATTGACTTTATATCACAGTAGTTAGATATTTCTAATTTTATATCATAGTTTAAGTTATGAGATATCAAGGAGAAAAGTGAACATCACTCCCTGTTATGGTTGCACACAAGATAGTCGCATCATGTACATTAGGTGCATTTATAACCTTATTGTTGTCTTCATTTGGGGATTAAGTATGTTTAAGGAGATGTGTATGAGCACCAAGTTGAAAAGGGGTGGACTTGTGATGGTTAATTTTATGTGTCAACTTGACTGGGCCACAAGGTGGCCAGATATTTGGCCAAATATTATTCTGGGTGTGTCTGTAGGGGTATTTATGGATGAGATGAATATTTAAATCAATTCTGACTAAAGCGGATTGCTCTCCTCAATGGGAGATTGCTCTCCCTAATGGGGTGGGCCTCACCCAATCAGTAGAAGGCCTAAATAGAACAAAAGGCTGATCCTCCCCCAAGTAAGAGAGAATTCTGCCTGATGGCCTTCAAACTGACACATCATCTCTTCTTGGTTCTATAGCAGATTCTAGCCTTTCAGACTTGAAGTGGGACATCAGCTGTACAGATCTGGGACTTGCCGGTCTTCATAATCATGTAAGTCAATTCCTTTCTCTCTCTCTCTCCCCCGCCATACCCACTGGTTCTGTTTCTCTGGAGAACCCTGACTAATGCAGGGGTGAGAGGGTAGGAGAAGAGGACACTGGAATGATGGGCATCTGAGGGGCAGATGGTTGAGAGCACAGTGAGAAGGTGAGGAGAGAGGAATCAAGAGCTGCCAAAAGATGGGGTCTGCCTAGCTCTTTCTGTGGAGCCAAGGAAACAAATCCATATATAAAAATTCCAGGTCTGTATGACAGGCAAAGTTAGCAGCCATAACACCTTTATAAAAGGCTTGTGTTAAAGCTGCCAGTTGCCCCAGACATTTGCTACAGGATTGTATTAGCCTACTGGGATTTTTGCCTAAAACCAGGTACTTCTGGGTCTGGCAAGATGACCAAGGCCCTCTGGGAGCTTTGTAGCAGCCCAGCCTCGATCTGGTTCTCACCTCGTAGGATGGTGACGTTGCGAAGGATTTCTCCATGCCGCGTATCCACGGCCTTCATCTCCTCCACGATCATGGACAGGTTGCGGACGTTGAAGTCCAGCCGGGCACTGAGTAGGCTGAATCGCTCCCGGAGCAGGTCCGTGGTGCCCAGCATGAGGGAGACGGACTTGTTCAGGTAGTAGAGCTCCTCGGCGTGGGTGTGGAAGCCCAGCGTGCAGGACAGCCGCACGTCGTCCAGGTACTTGAGCATGCTGTGCACGTGGTTGTCGGTGGCATTGATGTTGGTGAAGATGGTGCCGATCTCGATCTCATGAGAAGCCATACGTCCTTCCAGCGTCTCAAACCTCTCCACCGTGCGGTTCTGGGCATAGCGGGTATGGTACTGCAGGTCGTGCATGTTCTCCTCGTGGTCGTCCAGGAAGGACGAGATGTTATCCAGCTGCAGCTGTAAGCCCATGACCTGCATCACCAGGTCATGCATGCTCTCGGAATTCTGGCTGATGCGCTGCGACGAGGCCCCCAGGGTGGCCTGGATGTTCTTGACCATGTCTCCAGTCTTGGCCGAGGTGGTGCGCAGGCTGCTAAAGAGCCGGGTGTAGTTCTGCCAGTCGGTGACAATCTTCTGGAGGGTCAGGGTCTCCTCGTCCGTCTTCCGCCGGATTCCGTGTATCCACTCTGAAGTCTGCCCTACGGTGAAGTTCATCTGGTGCACTGCAGCCTTGACGTTGTAGCACTCCTGAGTGAGGTCCTTCAGGGAGAGGTCCAGGCCGGCTGTGGTGGCCTGCCAGCCCCTCACCTGGGCCAAGAAGAGCCCCAGAGACTGGTTGACCTGGTGGACAGAGAAGGAGGAGTTGCCCATCTCCTGGGAAATCTGACTGCTGGTGGTGGAGAGCAGTTCATGGGTCTGAGAGGTCTGGTCCAGCTGGACCTCCTGGGCCAGAAGCATTTTCTGAATTCCCTCCAGCTCCTCCTGCAGTTTTCTGATCTCTTGCCCCAGCTGCCCAGCCTCATGGCAGAAAGAGCAGTTGTTCGGGACTTTCAGGTCTTCGGGAGAAAAGGACAACATTTTGAGTTGCTGAAGGGTCATGGGACAAAAGTTACTTCATTAAATTAAATATTTCGGAGTATATTTGGCAAGTGGCCTCCTATTCCCTCTTCCTTTCCTAAGTCCTGCTATGAGATCCTTTTTAGAAAAGTCTTGCCATCTCTATGAAATCTTATTTTTATCAAATGTCTTTACTATGACCTAAAATGTATGATTTAGAATATTTTCTCCATCTCAGCACCATATCTCGAGAACATATCTTCCTAACTTTTCTGAGGTTGCCAAGAACCTCCCATTTATATTTTATTTTACAATTTCTCCAAATATTTCTATATTTGGAATCTTATTTAATCCTCTCACAATAAACTGTGGAGAAGATAGTGCAGGAATCTTTTTCCTGTGACTGATGAGAAATGAGGCACAGAGAAGTGGCTTGCCAAATACCATTCGGCTAGTTGGTGGCAGAACAGGACTTGTTCTTCTCATCAGAGCAGACCTCTTCTAACCCCTTCCATTGTGGCTCTCTGTCTCATTCTCAGCATGAGAATGTCCCTTGTTAAAGCAGGAGATAAAGAGCATCATGAATTTGCACACTTTAAAGCAGCGACGAGGAAAGGGCTGACTTAGTAAGAGGCTTTGGAAGGTCTTAAAAATAATTTCAGATACTCGAGGATATTTGGGGAATAGATTGTCTTTGGCTTCCTTCTCTAATCTGTGGGCTCTGGCTAGGTCTGTACTGCAAACAGAACCCCCAGCCCCAGTCCTGGGGGTGTCCCAGGGTAGCAGCCCTCTTGGAATGGATGGTTTTCCGGCTAGACAGGAAGTCATGGCTATTCTTCCCTTGTGCCTAGAAAGTTGGTGAAGGCTGCCCTGCTCCGGGGCCCCATGGCACAGAAAGAACATGGCATGGTGGGGTGAACCGTTGCCACACCCTAATTAATACTGGTCTTCCATCAGAGTCATAGCACACCTGGAACTGGACACTTACCCAGTCCTTGGAGATTTTCCTGCATAGACATAAGCTTCTTGTCATAAATGGCCTGGGCCAGGGAGATATCTTCTGAGAGAGAGTCCACTTTCCTGAAAACTGTAGGGCAAATACGGATGAGAAACGGAGACAGGGTGTTAGCTCAGAGAAAGGCATTTTTATCAACTCCTCTGCAACCACAACTATTCACCCTTCTTCTATGGGGCTTCCCAGTGGTGGTGAGGGAAGATTCTTCTTATGGCCAGAGTTTGTCACACATCCCTTAAAAATACATGTCTATGTAACTATCTATCTATTGAGATAGATAGACATATATATCTCTTTATATACCGTCCTTAAGTGTATATATGTATTCATATATCTGTGTATATAATGTATAATACCTATAATTACACATATGTATATATGTAACCATATGTATGTATTATATATATGATACTATATATATAATTCCAACTCCCCCACCCCAGATTTTAGAACTAGAACCTGACCACGGAATAGAATAGGGCAAATTAGCAAAAAAAAACATAAAAAGAAAAAAAATTATTCTTATTCCTACCACCGAGAGATAACTCCCATCATCTTCGTGTATCTCTTATAATCTTATATCCACAACCACCCTATGTACATAGATACACACTTTTTTAGGAAACAATGACAACAGAAAATTGGGGTGTTCTGAATATCTCATTTCTTTTATTTTGCTTTATCGGTTTCATTTCATGACTATTTTCCCATTGAGGTTTAAATCACTTTTCTCTAGTGTCTAGTCCACTGAGGCAAACAAACTTACCGCTCCCCTTAGTAAAGAAATTAGGATTTTTAAAATCTGAAGCTAAGAATAAAATGGAATTGGAGTGAGAAGCTGTCAAATTTGTCTTCATCAGTTTACCATAAGCTGCTACAGTCCAGGAGTCAAAAGTGACCTGAATCTGATAGCATGCCATCACCTGGGTCATCTACGCCTCATAAAACTGTAGTGTGTAAGAAAACCACCAAACTTCACATCCCAGGGTCTCACCTGTGGGACTCTGACTTAGTAAGTCTAGGTGAGACACAGAAATCTGCATTTTAACAAATACTGAGGGTGATCTTGATGCAAGTAGACATCCAACCTTATTAAGAAAGTCACAAAGACCGTGAAAGGGGCTTAGAAATTGCCCGATTCAGTGACCTCAACCCCAGATATACAACAGAATCATCTGAAGGGCTTAAAACTACTGAACTAATTCCATTATCCAGGGTGAGACCCAAGCATTCTTATTTGCTAAAGCTCCCCGGTGATTTTAACATGGAGCTGAAACTGAGAATCGCTGACCTGGTCCCAGCCTCTCATTTTGCCATAGGAAAACGGAGGTCCTGATGGTGGACAGTGTGTCTTGCTCAAGGCCACCCTGCCAATTACTGACCAGAAACTAGGGGCCAGTCTTCGCAATTCGAATTAGGCAATTTGAATCGAGATTCCCTGGCCACAAAGATGCTGGTTCTGGGCCCTGCCGCAGAAATCTGTGTCTGTGTTGGGGGGTTTGGTGCAGGACCCCCGATCAGAAACTTCCCTGCAGCCCCAGTGGGGGTGGGGGGTAAGCCCTGAACTAGCCGGATGCTGCTGAAAGCCTGCACTCACCCAGAGAGGCCAGCACGGCAACAGCCACCAGGAGCAGGGCCAGGAAGAGGTAAAGAATCCGCACGGAGGTGTGCAAAGACAGGTTCCTCTGGCAGCGGCTGCAGCGAGGGCCTAGCCGGCCTGTGGGGGGACAAAAGAGGACAGTGGCTGAGGCTGCAGCTGAAAGATCAGCACCATGTTACCGCTCGGGTCTTTCTCGTCATATTTCCTGTTCTCGAGCTTCATTCTTTACCCATCTGCCTGTCTTTCCTCTAGGTCCTTGAGCTTTTGGAAATATAAGAGACCAGAATCAGGGTCTTCGAAGAACACTCATCATTCTCTTTATGTCATCATCATTCAGCCTGGGCCACGAGGAGACACTTCTTCCCGGTACACTGGCCTTACAGACAGATGGCCTCTACAACACGAGGCAGCCGGCCTCATTTCACCACTGGGTGACCAATTCATCCTGGTTTGCCTAGGACTTTCCCGGTTTTGATAATGAAAGTCTCACTGTCATGCGAACTTCTCAATATGAGGAAAGCCAGGATGGTTTTTTAAGACTGAAAGTCATATACCCTGAGAGACCCTTCAGTCCAAGGCAAACCAGAAGGTTGGTTACCAGTCCCCAAACTTCACAGATAACCAGCAGTTTTCCAAATCAATGGTTCCAGTCCACCCGTTGGTCCCTGGTAGGGAGGAGGGAGGGAATGCAGTACTCCAGGCTACTTTGGCAGGTGGCCATGCCCCATGGGAATGCAGTGATGCTCTCAGTTGTGAAATTTTTAAGGTGAGTTCAATTTCAGCTGCGCATTACGAGTACCAGGAATGTTTAAAAGTCCTGAAACCCCTTTCACACTCCAGACCAAAACATCAGAGTCTCTGAGGGTTGGTCTCAGGCACCCCTGGGTGGTTACAGTGTGTAGCCAAGGCTCAAAACAGCTGCACCAATCTGTACTGAAATCCACCAGGAAACCTTGCTCCACGTAACAGTTCAGATCAACCAAATGCCAGGCTGGGTCCTGTGGGCCTGAGAAGGATAAGCCACTTAGCTGGCATGGGATACAATGAAGGGGACAGTTCTGGGCCAGCTAGAAGACAGGCCCTAGGGGAGATGGCAGAGATCCCTGACAGCTCTCACAAAGAGCCCTGGAGACAAGTGGCACTTGTGTCAACTTGATTTCATCTGTATTGTATAACCCAGGCCACTCTGCTTTTTTACCCTCCAGGAAGCAATGGGGAAAGGACAGCCAGGAATTTGAAGCCATGTAGAGAGGCAAGTCAGCAGCCTGAGGATGAGAAAAAGGAGGGGCTCTCAGCCCAGAGGACCCCAGGGGATCACAGGGCAGCCCTCAGAGTCCTTACCCTCCTGTGTGCACGGGAAAGATGGCATATCCTCGTCACCAGCCAGCTCCTCTTCTGTAACACACAGCGCATCTCCGTCGCCGCCAGTCGACCTCACTGTGATGGAGCCAAGTGCTGTCAGAAGCCACGCTGGGACCCCAAGTCACATCTAACCCTCTCCAGTTGCCCCATTCATTAACAGTCCCCACACCCTGTGTCCACCCCGCTCCCGCCCCGGGTGCATTTTAGCGCACGTGAGCTTCAGGTGACCTAATGGTAAGCAGAGAAAAGGAAGACAGAGGTAAGAATCGAGTGGCTGAGGAACTGGTATGTCTCTTACCGCTAGGTAAGATTTCATCATCTCCCACAGCTGGAAAAGACACACAGGCCAGCTCAGCTACCTACTCTATATGCGTCTTGCTCAAACCTCTTGGGTGGCTTGATCTGGCTCAGCATCCTTCCATTCCCTGACGCACGGTAAACAAAGCAGGTGGATCTTCCCCTTTGTCTCTTGCACCCGCTCCCCTTTTTTCAAGGAGAAGACTAGCTGGGCTGAGATGCAAAACCCTTCTACCCTAGCTATGGGTGCTGGCCAATCAGTAGGAAGACTGTGACCAATCAGAAAAGACCCGACTGGAATGTCTGTCCTAGGGGTGATGCAGTGTGGCAGGGCCTGGGGCAGCACCTTCTAGGTGTGGGGCTTTATGCGGGGGGTCTTTGGTCCAGCTGCCCACCTTGTGCCGCTCAGCTTGGTCTTGTCCTGTACTCACGACTCTAGGTTCCTGACATCTAGCCTCTGTATTTGTTGACCCATCCCGTTTCAACCACTAATTTGAATTTGTTTGTTTGTTTGTTTGGTCCTTGGGGTTATCTCCTGTTTTCTTTTTAACTTTAGTTATGCATTTGGCAGTTTGCTTGTAGTTTATCTAGTACCTAAACTTTATAGTCCTAGGATATTTTAAGTCAGTAACGCTAGAAACAGAAGCTCCAAGTTTTACTTTTCTTTGTTCCCTTTTTTAATGCCATGAAGGGCTGGGTCTTGCCTCTAGGCACCCTTTACGACAACCCTATAAACTTTACAATCTAAAGTATCACTTTTAGGGACAAAAAGACTGAGTGCAGAAAGTTAAGAATGTTGCTTAACAGCATCCAGAATATGAGGTGAACTCAGAAATCTTTGCTACCGTCCCTACCACCTCCTCAGAGTAACGAGCAAAAGTTCTACACATGTTAAGAAACAGGGCAGAAATGAAGGGGGCCAGGCCAGTGGCTGAGGGTGTGATGGAGCCTCAGGGGCTCTGACAATGACCCGGAAGCAGCCTGAGCAGCACCTGGGACCTCATTTCCCACATTCTGTGACCACTGTGGTCAGTGCTGGGGCCAAAAGTCAGAGTGGGCAAGGAACACTCGGTAGTGAAGGCAGCCCTCAATGGCCTCTGTGGGGGAGGAACTGAGCGTGACCCCAAATTAAAGATGCCACTATCATGTCTTCTGCTTGTTCTCCAGGTCTTGGCTTATATGTCACTTTCTCGGCTGTCTTCCCAGACAGGAGTAAGTTCCTTGTTATACATACTTCCATGTGCTCTGTATTTTTCCTTCGTAGAATGCAATACACCTTTTGTTATTTATTCGACAGCTCTCTTCCCCAGTGTTCAAGATCTATGGACAGGGAGTGTGTGTACCTTGTCTGCTTTATCCAAAGCCGCTAGCACCATGGTTGGCACAGAGAAATGCTCAACCAACACAACTGCGAATGAATCTATGAGTGACTTTGTATTATGCTTTCTGGAAGCAGGTCTATGCCTGCATACGGAATCACTGGGGAGCTTGGTTAAGAGACCAATGTCAGCGCCCCACCCTCAGGGAGTCTGAGCTAATTTGGGGGATAGTGGAGACCTGGCCTCACATCCATAATTCCATTTGATTCCTACAACTAGTCTGGTAAATGGACAGGGTGAGAAATCATTCTTTCAGTTTTATAAATAAGGAAGCTGAGTCGGGGAAGAGGGTTAACTTTTAATGTCTGGCTAAAGTCATAGAACCAGCTAGTGGCAAAGCCTCCTGAATCCTGGTTGAGTTTTCCTGTTCACAGTAAGTCTCTTCCTGACAGAGCTGGTGTGTTCTCGTGGTGTGTGTGTGTGTGTGTGTGTATGCACTCAGGAGTGGGGTGTGTACAGTGGCAGAAGGAAGGTTGACACGGCGGGCACCATGATCCCTTTATATGTATCCTAAGAAATCCGCCTTTTCAGGACTGCTTCCTGTCTGAGGCTGCTACCCCATCATCGCATGGCCAAAAATTTACAGGGTGACTTTGCTTGGGAGGTTCCCAGGATTACCACCTACTCTCATAAACTGGCGAGGCCGATTAGGATTCCTTGGTGCCTTCCGTGCTCGCCCTGACTAGCCAGGCCTTCTCACCCCCAGATGATCTCAGCCAGAGCCACACTGCCGCTGTCGGATTTACTGCCCTCCCAACCCCTCGGGGAGGTGTTCCCTCCATTCTCTGGAGCAGAAACATCTTCTAGGCCTTCCTGCCGTGTTTCTCACTCTCCCCACCCCTCGGTGGTGCTTCTCTACCCTCCCTTGTGACTAGGCCTCCTCCCTGTTCTGGCTCCAGGGCTAATTTCATCACTTCACTGTTTATAGCCTTTGGAGGAAATCTGGGAAGACTTAAATCAAGCAAGGCTGACACCAACCTTCAGCAAACATTCCCTCAAAAAGCACACAGCTTTGTCATAACTTTCCTCTCCCCTCGAGAGTCCCCCAAATTGGCAATCATTAGCAAGTGGGAACTAATAAAGACCCTGTTCCGGTACTTTGCAGAGCAGCCCATAGGAAGGGAAATGACAGCTGCCAGCATGGATCTCGGCTCTCTCTACATGAGGAGCTCACAAGTACTTGGCTCTATTCCCTTTGCTGACATCTCAGCTCCATAACTCACAGCCCTCCCTAATCCCCAAAGAGTTCTCTTCTCTTTCTAATCCTTTGGACTTCCTGTTCACTGAGGCTGAGCCATGGACCTTGGGGACCCCTAACTTACCTATGTCTGGAATGCTATAGAAACTCTCCACTTTTGCTTTGTTCATTTTAATGAGAATACAATCCAAAGCATTTGTGAGGCTTTCATAAGCCAAGTCCTTTGCACATACGAGCTCATTATATTCATATTACCCCAAGATTGTTCCGGTCAGCGGATGGAAGCAGCAGCAGACATAAAGAAGTGAGAAGAGCTTGGCTTGAGGCACAGAGACTACGATTGATTAGAAGATGATTGATTAGACAGGAATCTGTAGTCCCCCCCCTTATAGTGGGCCAAGCAGGGTTGACAGAGATGGGAAAAGAATGTTCCTCCCCCTCTCCATCTCCCATGCTTGCCTCTTCCCACGCCTAGTGTGGTGATCTGACTTAGTGTGGAGTGCCCAGCTTTCTGAAGTGTTCTCAGAGTTAGGTGTGGGAAGGGTCTTTGTAGGTCACAGAACCTACCTGTCATGTGACAAAGGCTCAGAGAGGTTAAGTGACCTGACGGCTAGTTAGTGACAGCTAGTCCCTAAACTAACAGGTATCTGAAGCAAGACCCAAACACACATACAGAATGCTTGGAGAGTTGGCATACACATCTCAGAGAGGTCAGAGAGCTGGGCGAAGCCTTTTCCATCCGGGCCTGATTTCTATTTACATGTCTGGTCTCCAAGCAATTTTTCATCTCCTCAAAGTCAGGAAATCTTCCCTCAGCACGGGGCTGGTCACGTAGCGGGCGTTCAAAATAGATGGGTTTTTCGGACCCTTTGAGGAGGGCTGCATCTCAGTTAATTGTTAACTTCTGCTGCTTCAATTAAGGGCTCATTTTTATTCAAAAAATAAAGATTAATTACTTAAAATATGGTTTAAATAGGGTTTATTCTTAGAGTTCTCCGTGGCTAGGGCATGCTGACGCACTGAGGATGCAAAGGCTTAAAGCGGTAGAGATTTAAAAGGACTTACAGAGGCCAATTATCTGAACTAAAAAGGAATGAACTAAGGGGGGTGGGTGCAGCAGCATTTAAGACCTGCTTCTCCTTCCTTCGTCAGAACGTGAACAAGACATAGGATATTCCTCTCCTAAAGTTAAAAAGCCTTTCTTACGTTTTGTGGGGGAGGGGTCTTTTCTTCCATCGTGTCCCAGTTAATCACCTTAGAATACCACTGGTGCTTCACAGCTCTCCGAAGGATGGCCCTGGTTCTTCCCTGGGTCACACATAAATTATCCATGGGTAATTGAAGAGCACCTGAGTATCAAATATTATGGGTCGCCAGGTGTCTGGCGTGGTTAGAGAAGTTGCCACAGGGTAGGCCATGGGTGTCTGGAGGGCAGCTAAGTGTCCAGGAAGGTAGAAATAGCCTCTGTTGCCGCCTCTCTCTCTCTCTTTTTTCTTTTTTCATTTTGCTGACCCTGGATAAAGGCTATTGTGACAGGAGGGGGTGAGCTTGGGAAAGGACACTGGAGAAGATATGGTAATGTCTGGACCTCGAAGTCATTAGGAAAGCCCCTTTCTCGGGACAAGGTCAGGACAAGCTTGAAAGGACAAGCATGCTGCTCTGCATAGCACAGCTCTGACTCCCTGAGCCAGCTTCTGCTTCTCCTGTTCTAGAGGCCCCAAGGGATTGGAGCTGTAATGAGGGAGCATCCTGGTCCCTGAACTAAAGAAGCCGGGCCCAAGAATTACGACCCAAGGTGCAGCCAGGTCCCACTTCATCTATTGATCTCTCCCCAAATTACAGGCAGTATGATTAAAAAGAAATCAAATAGCCTTCGCAACCCGTGTCGTAAGCTCAGACTCACGAAGCGGTGGCAACCGCTGGAGAGTTGAAAGCGCCTCTGTTCCCTTCATACCTAAGGTCCTAATATCCAAGTCAAACACCAGGCGGACAGCCACAGGAGAAACTTTTTTTTTCTTCCCCTTTTTAAATGTCTGCTCTCGCAGAGGCTTGTGGAAGGTCTGAGTGAAGGTGCATGCGCTGGCACACTGTAATGCGTGACTGCTGACTCTGCGGGGGCCGAGCTCGGTTCACTTCCTCTGGAGGTGGAAAACAGCCTGGACCTGTTAACCAACTGCTAACTCAACTGTGGTCACCAACTCCAGCTTTTTTTTTTGGTTGACCAAAAATGTGGAGTCGATTCACTCTTTAGCCTTTCTGCAATCTTCCATCAGAGTCAGCAAGGGGGAGAGATTCGAGGAATCGAATAAAAGGTCTTTCTTTGGGAACTTCAAGGAACATATTTTGATGATTATCTTCTACAAGAGTTCACAGAGTGGGTTTTTCGAAACAGCCAATTGGGTCAGTAAAAATAAAGATTTGAGAGTCTTCTCAGGAGCCAATGCTATATTTAAAATTATAGAATAGCTGTAGTCTAAGGCTGGAGAATGCTATAATTAAGGTTGCAAAATTGTTTTCATTAGAATCCTCCGGTCATTACCCCCTCCCTGAGGCTTCCTTTGCGGATGCGTCTATATTTGGATGGGAATCAGCCTGCCTGGCTCTTTCC